TATACATGTAGGATAAACAGGGAGAGTAACTGGGAGTTGGGTAGCAGATCTCGATAATAATAAAACCAAAGTAAGGTTTATGGTATAGTATGACCTACCTAGATGAAGTAAAGCCATAAGGATAGATAACCGAGTCTATGAAAAAAATATAGCAATGGTCGTAAGTTCGACGAAGTAACGAGCGGACAACTTTATTACACCTACAGAGGCCCAGCGAGACAACTTGTCATAGTACTGCATATGTTCACAAAGTGAGGCCTAGAGATTTGCTTAAAGCGAGAGGAAAAAAGGGAGAAGATAAAATAGGCACATATACAAGGAGAAAGCCATACAGCCTACATGATAGAAGGTAGCAACAGTTACGAGATTAGAAGAATTCCGACCACATGTCATGATGTGAGAATGAGGCATAATGGGGGAATGTCCTGGCTTGTGGATTCATTCACATAATAGTATCCCATATGGCAAGGACAGTACTAACGTATTCATAAGAGCTATCCGGTTATGAAACTAATAAGCGTATCAGTCAACATTCGAGGACGAATGTTCCAAAAGGGGGATTAATGTTACACCTCATGTTTTTGCACGTAAAATAACATCGTAAGTGAATTGATGTAAACTCAGAAATGAAATCATCTTTGGAAGTACATAAAGTAATTTAATAATGTTACTTTGGAGGTTAAAATCTCTAAAGATCATGTATAAAAAGTATCAAGATGGTTGGAAGGCTTAGAAGCTAAACGAATTAAAGAAAATAAGTTTCATTGAAAGTCGACAAGTTGGGAATGTTATAACGTGTACTTTTGGGGTGACACTAGGGTGCTTAACAAGATAAGAGGTTATTTATGAGTTATTTTAGTCGTATAATAGTCGTGTATTATGTTTTGAAGTCAAGTGAGTTGTGGAACAAAAGTTGGCAAAGGTCATCACAAGTTACATTCATAAATATGCTAAAAATTAGGTCAAATCTAGCTGAGCTTTTCTCCCATTGTACTTTGAATTATGGTGTGATCCATATACCAAATAAAATATCTATGAGTCTAGCTTCTAACTCATTAAACCGTTCGTTGATACGACATCAGAGTAGAGAGATATTTGCATTTTTGCGAGACTACGCAAGCAGCTCCCTTAGGACCCATAAAGCTAGTGTAAAACTCCAGCTTGGATATAAGCCAACTCTAAGTCGTTTTAACTCATTTTTCTCGACCAAAACAGTTCCTAAACCCTCATAGATGCTCTCCAAGGGTTCCCCCATGATCCTAGAGTTAATCCAAAGATAAACCATGCAAGTTCGTCGTAAAGAATATCATGGTTACCATTATCTCCCTTTCCTTCTCGTTGTAACGACATAGGAAGATACTTGGTTCTGAAGTGAGTTAAAGAACAGAGGCTTATTGGTATATTCGAGGTAAGTTTCATCTTCCATAACCTAATCTTATGTTATTACAAGTGTTGGGTTGAATTTTGTTGGAGCGATCTGGAAGAAACTAGTAACTATGAAACTTGAAGTTGAGCTATGTTGTGTGGCTGTTTTTACATATTTTAAGATAATTAATGGAAATGTAAAGGTATGGATATCCTGGGGAGGATGCGGAAAAGTGAAGATGAAGATCATTTTTCTAGAACATGTTGAATTGGAGCTATAAAATACCCTATGAAGTTAGGCACATAAGTTGTTTGATAAAATGACTAAATGAACTTGCCAACAGAATATGAAGTCGATATTGACACCAATCATTTGTATGATATAGATTACCATACGTAAGAGGTGCGACAACTTTTGCAACAGTTGTAACTTCGTGGATAAGGTATGGTATGGCTATCCCTTCTTTCCTTTTGGCATGATCCATATGATACAACAAAACGAGAAAACACACAACTTTCACAAATGACTCTATTCTTAGAAGTACTAAGGTTGCGTATGTTCTTGATTCCCCATATGTCCTTTTATCATATCGTCTGTTCATAGGTCTCAAAAAATGCATAAGTTGATAAAGTTTATTTATGATATTAACCGAAGGCCTATTGATCTTATGACATTCCGAGAGATCTTATTGACTTACTTCATTATGCATTGTATTCATTTATTCAAGTATATTGACCCATGACCATATGGCATTATATATGCGTATACTATATGTATATGGGGTATGGGGAAAGGTTATTGCATTATATGCGCACCACCACCTGATCAGCTGGCATACGTTGATGATTTCGCCCACTAAGTTCGAGATAATATTATGCGATGCCCTCAGAGGCTTGATAATGTTATGTACGCATATACCTATGCATGAATGATATTTATACACATATGCATGATAGTATAAATGTTTCATGATTCACAGAGCTATTCAGACTTACAGGTTGAGTCCTTTACTCCATGTTTCTTCCATGTCTTTTATATACTAATATTTGTGCCTTACATACTCGGTACATTATTCATACTGACGTCCTTTTTGCTGGGGATGCTGCATTTCATGCCTGTAGGTCCTGATAGACAGCTGGGTAGACCTTCCCAGTAGACAGAGTCAAGCATCAGCTTGGTTGGTTTGCTTCACTTCTTTGGAGTTACCAGGTCTAGATCTTGGAGTCCATTTTATATATATAGGTTTGATGGGTAGGTTAAGGCCCTGTCCCGACCGTAATACAATTCAGTTATCTCTAGAGGCTTGTAGATGTGTCCTGTATATTTTGTATATCAGTATTGTGGCCTTGACAAACCTGTGTACCACGTTTGGTATTGCTGGTTGTAGACATTCACTGTGGCTGTTGGCCCAAGAATAGGTGAAGTTTTGAAGAATGACAAATGAACTCAGTTATGGACCAGGTCCATCTTGTGAAGCACAGTCATGATCAACATACACATGTGAGATGCACGTGAAGGAGATAAGTCCTACTGATCAAGCAGCAATATCTCCTGATCTTATCGAAAAGGTTGCATATTGGATAAGGGAAGAAAGTCTCCTTATATGAAGAGAACACAATCCGGATAAAGATAGTGTTGGAGTTTAAGATCTTCAAGGACTCAACTATGATAGAAGATCAGCAATTGAGTCCAAATCAAACTCTGATTACTAACCTATTAAAAGACAGTGATTGTTCTCTTTTATAGGTATTGCACAAACGCAGAAGTTAAACTAAATTGAGAGCAAAGAGCAAGGCAATTTTGCAAGCAATTTATATGAGATTTGAGTGTGCACTCCTGAAGCTACTTGAACGAGATAGAAGAACCAATTCCATTGTGTCTTTCTTTTATTCTAGTTCAATTGTAGTAGGTGGTTTAAAGTTTTACCTTTCAGCTTTCATAGAAGCAATTGTATTAGGTGCTTAGAGTGTTCAAGTTATAAGCTAACTTGAAGTAGTTGAAACAGTTGAGGTTGTGTGCTACAATGGGATTAGAGTTAATCATTAGGTTTACAAAGAGTTTTTGTAAATGCTATTTTGGCTCAACGATATTAGTGGAAGGTTGGAAAAATCCTACTGAGTAGTAGGTCGTGGTTTTTTTCACCCTTTGAGCCAGGTGTTTTCCACGTAAAAATCTTTGTGTTCTTTATTTTATGTACTTCTTATTCCGCAAATAGTAGTAGTTCGAACACCGAGAAGAACCAGGTTCTTCTAGAGCGAAAATTGGGTACCACACAAATCATCCCCCCCCCCCCTCTTGTGTGGTATTTATGTTTAGAACATCAGTGGCCTCATCGGCCTTGATTGGTATTGTCATCTCGCGGGTAGGCCTTGTTGGCCTAAGTTGAGGGTTATCCCTCCAAAGTTTACAATTATAGAGTGGTACGCTCGGGCCAAATATGGCACCTGGTGCCGTCCATGCCTCCCAGGTTTGGGGCATAACAGTAAATACAAGGAATGACATAATGGTATTGACGGTCTACTAGTAACTGTAAGACATAAGAACGAGGATGATAGGGGAGATAGGAGCTATGAAGGAAAAAGGACTACGACCAATTAATCCATGTGAACATACGTGGTAACAAATAACCTTCGACAGTTAAATCACGATCCAATAAAATGTGTGAACCAAAAAAGATGGGTGGTATTAACCTTGTAAGCAAAAGGCAACCTACAAAGAATCACTTACCATAACGGTACTAATTCCAATATCCTGACAACCACTATTGAGAGCTTAGCACGGACATAAGTGACACCGTTCAAGGGGCGTTTAGAATTTAAGCTAAGGATGCAATGTAAAAATGCTGGCAGCTTAGTATACAAATTCTTCCAAATATTCAGCAGCAAGAATTAAGGAGGCGTACTCCTCAGTCATTAATTGATGAGCAAACGAACATTAGCTAAACCAAAAGAAAAGATGAGACTATGTTGAACATATGAATGTCCTTGAAAGACCAAAGTTTAAAATATACGTAACTCTTCAAGGGAATGCCACCTAAGAAGCTTAACCATAAGAGAAATAATCGAATATGAGGATAAGAAGTCCAAAAGTTAAACGAATAGAAGCAAATAAGTTTCGTCGAAAGTCAGCAATTTGGGAATGTTATAACCCATACTTTTGGGGTGAGACAGGGTGATTAACATGTTAAGATGGTGATGTTATGAGGTATTTTAGTTGTATGATATCTATTTGTCAAGTTTTGAAGTCCAACAAGTTATGACACAAAAGTCAACAAAACTTGTCGCAAGTTACGTTCATAATTTTACTGAAAATTTAGGGCTAATGATACTGAGCTTTTCTCTCAATGGACTTGGCCGGGGAACGTATGATAGTATTCCTTGTTTGAATACATCAATGTGCAAACGTATGATGATCCACACTTGCATTCCTAAGGGACACAATGCAACACCGTGATGCCAAGGAGGTTACTATCAGTGATGATGGAGTATTGAGACTTTAGGGCCGGATCTGTGTACCAAATATGGATGGTCTGTGAGTGTTGATTCTTGAGGAGGCCCATAGTTCGCGGTACTCCATTCATTCGGGGTCCGTGAAGATCTAACATGATTTGAGGCAGCACTATTGGTGGCGGAGGATGAAGAAAGATATTGTTGAGTATGTTGGTCGGTGTTTGAACTATCAGCGGGTGAAGTATGAGCATCAGAGACCTGATGGTTTGCTTCAGAGACTTGATATTTTGGAGTGAAAGTGATAGTGTATCATTATGGATTTTGTAGTTGGGCTTTCACGGACCTTGAGAAAATTCGATGCAGTATGGGTCATTGTGACAGACTGACCAACTCTACACACTTCATTCAAGTCATGACTACCTACACTTCAGAATTTGGGAGATAGTTTGCCTTTATGGTGTGCCCATGTCTATTATCTCAGATCGAAGCATGTAGTTTACATCCCATCTTTAGGGAGAAGTGCAGCATGACTTGGGCACACAGGTCGAGTTGAATATGACATTTCATCCCCAGATGGACGAGCACTCTAAGCGCACTATTCAGACTTTGGAGGACATGTTATGAACCTGTGTCACTGATTTTGAAGGATCATGGGATCATTTTCTACTATTAGCAAAGTTCGCCTACAACAACAACTATCAGGCGAGTATCCACATGGCTTCATATGAGACTTTATATGGGAGGCGCTGCAGTTCTCCGGTTGGTTGGTTTGACCCTAGGAAGGCTAGGTTGGTGGGCACTTATTTGGTCCGTGATGCTTTGGAGATAGTGAAGTTGATTCATGAGCGACTTCGTGCAGTGCAGTCCAAGAAGAAGAGTTACTCTAACAGAAAGGCTCGTGATGTTGCATATATGGTGGGTGAAGGTTCTACTTAGATTTTCACCTATGAAGAGTGTGATGAGGTTCGGGAAGAAGGGCAAGTTGAGCCCTAGGTATATTGGTCCTTTTGAGGTTCTTGAGAGAGTTGGCTGGGTAGCCTACAGACTTGCCATGCCACCTAATTTATCGGGAGTTCACCTAGTGTTTTATTTTTTCATGCTCTGGAAGTAATATGGGGATCTGTCACAGGTTTTGGACTTCAGTATGTCGTATTAGGATGAGGATTTAACTTATGATGTGGAGCCGGTGGCCATTTTGGATCGGTAGGCTCGAAAGTTTAGTTCGAAGAATATAGCATCAGTAAAGGTTCGGTGGAGAGGCCAGACAGTTAATGAGGCTACTCGGGGGGCCGAGCGGGGGATGTGGAGCAGATATCCTCACCTTTTTGAGACTCTAGGCATGTTCTAGACTTGTTCAAGGATGAATATTTGTTTAAGAGGGGGAGAACGTAAGGACTCGGCCGGTCATTTTTGGTACATCCCACATTTTCACACGTCAAAGTGTGTCATGAAGTAGTCGACATAAGCTCAGAGATCAAGACTATTCTCAAGTTCACGAGTGTATAAAACCATGAATAGCACATGCTGGAGGGCTTAGAAGTTAAACGAATAGAAGAAAATAAGTTTCGTCGAAAGTCGGCAATTAGGGAATGTATGACTCGTACATTTAGGGTGAGACTGGGTGATTAACATGATAAGATGGTGAGTTATGAGGTATTTTAGTCGTTGATATTCGTGTGTTAAGTTTTGAAGTCAAACGAGTTATGAAACAAAAGTCGACAAAAGTTGTCACAAGTTACGTTCATAATTTTACTAAAAATTTTGGTCTAATGTTACTATGCTTTTCTCTCAATGTACTTGGGTTTATGGGGTGATCCACCTTATTTGAAGATTAGCGAGTCTACATTCCAATGCATTAAACTGTTCGTTGATACGGCATCGGAGTAGAGAAATATTTGCATTTTCGCGAGACTGCGCAAGCAGCTCCCTTTGTAACCCACAAGGTTGGTTGAGGATTATCTTCATATATAAAGTTATGGCCTTCCTCTCCAGGCCTCATTTCGACCCAAATTAGACATAGAACTCTCTCTAGACCCGCTAAACTAATATTTAGGGTTTAGAAGCCAAATCAAAGGTGGAGAAGGTGAAAACAAGTGGATTCAAGCCTTAAGAACCCGAACTAGTCGGTGGTTTGCCGCTTTCCCTCTTTGTGGCTGATTGAGGAAGACATAGCAACGAATTAAACTCTATAAATTTGGGATTTGTGTGCTATAAGGTATGTTCTTCACCCCTCTCTTTGGGTTATGTCATTTTTAGGCCATAGAAAGCTTAGATGTTGAAGGAAAATATGTTAAACATGAAGTTAGAAGTATGTTTGAGGTCTGTTGATACACAATTTTTCCCTACAATATTTTTTCAAATTGCATATATACCTCCAAAACTATGCATTAGCAACAATTAATATTTTTTCACAATTTCTGCATTTTTAAAGATTTTAATTAACTTACCCCAGTATTCTTATTTATGTAAACAATAACTAACTGCATCACAAATAGTTTTATAACAATTTTTGTGGTTTAATATTATCATTTTACATTCGTAATAAGTTTCACTTATTGCACAAACAGCCACATTTATATTTTTGGGGTTATAATTGCAATCACTTTGCAATTATAGCCCATGCATGCATTATTGCATTACTCTACAAGAAAATAGCTTTTTATATTTTTTTAAATTACTAAATAATTATTTAAAAACACTTCTAGGTATGAAAATTATTTTTGTAATCTGTTAATTAGTTTTTAAAAATTATTTTTTATCAATTAAATGGGTATTTAACAATTAAATTGATTTTTGTGTATATGCTTAAACCCTAGGTCTTTCTGTCTCCGACACTAGTTATTTCAGTGATTTTTCCTTTTATTTTTTTTATTCCTGTCAATCCAATATACCGATTGATTTTTATTTGGGATTCGAATCATATTTTCCAGATTAAGATCAGTATCTCTATGTGATTTTTACTTATTTCCTTATTTGTGACTTTAATTGGTAATATTTGCCTTATTTGAACTATCAGTCTGACTTAGGGATTCGATTGATTTCTATATGGCATGAGAATGATTTCTTGCCTTATTTGAGCCCTAGTTTTGTACCGTTAGTTGACTCTCCTCATTCTAAGGGGTCTCTTCCGGATTCTTCTATATGAATTGACTCGCTAATTGGCTGATTGATTTGATTACCCTTATTTTATGAACTATGATTCCCTCTTTACCTTATTTGTTTTTACCTCACTAAGTGCTATATATACTCTTATTCTGATTGTTCTGAACATGAACAATAGTTCACCAACACACTCACACACGAACTCTGCTCTCATCTCTCTCTGCTACTTGTGTTCATTGCTTGTCTAGTCGGCCGAAAGCCAAGATTAGACATTTGAATCCTGCCTACTTTACTTTCTGCTTCTGTTCCTTTAACCGGTATGCTCTCTATTACCATTCAGCTAAACCTATGTGTTTCTCTTACAATCAGTATGCCTTCTTCTGAAACTATATGTTTTCCGGCTTAGCATGTCTACTACTATTTTAATTAAACTATGTGCCCCGTTATCAGCATGTTCACTTTCTTGTTATTAAACCAATATGATCTTTATATCAGCCTACCTATCTTTAATTAAACCTGTGTGCATCATTTTGTTCTTAATCAGCATGTGTACTGCCATTCAATTAGATTACATGCTTCCTGTTATTCAACTTAACCTATATGCTTCCTGCTATTCAATATGTTCCCTTATAATTAACATGCTTTCTTTCTACTTAATCAAACTGATGTGTTTGTTGCAATAGTATGTCTACTTATATGTTTACTGCAATAGCATACCAACTTCTATTTGATTGAACCTATGTGTCCCGCTCTTAATCTGTTTATTCCTGCTCTAGCTATACTTATGTGTTTCCACATGAGCCAGACTCATGCTTATTTCTTTTTCACTAGCATGTCAATTCTATCCTATGTGCACCTCTGACCAACAGCTGCTCCTAAGCCCTGTTGTCCCTTTGCATGTAACTATGTGCTCATCTAGTAATAGTTAATAAACTAAGATGAATGTGAGTCTTTACTTTGATGTTTTATGACTATGTTTTGTGTGCTTTTAGTTTGCTGAACCTTTGTTCAGAATGCTTCCAAAACTATTTTTCACTCCGGATATGTCCTTACCTCTAAACTGTTTCACACTTCTAACATTGCCTTCATTTTTAAACTATTCTCACTCTTAAATGTTTTCCCCTGTTAAACTAGGTTCACTTCTGGATTATTTTACTTCTGAACTATCTCTTAAATCTGTTTTCCATTCTTTCAAGCACTATCTCCCACTCTTACTCTTAGAATACCTAAGGTCTTGCCCCTCTAGTGTAAGCACTGCTTAGGAGTCCATGAGGCTCCTCTAAACTTTAACACACTGGAGTTGGCTTCCCAAACTTGCTTACAAGGGGTTATTTGAAAGTTTTCCTGGTGTGAGCATTGCCTGGGGTCCCTGAGGCCCTTGGGAACTTTGACACACCAGGACACTATTGGGTGCACTATGAGGTTATGACATTTTGGGATTGGTTGAAGGCCTGGTCTGCCAAGTTTATCCTTTGGGCCTTTATTCAGACTCCCAATAGTTGTGGCCATTTCACTTCTGTAATTCATTATTAATGTTAGTCTATAATAATAATTTCTTGTAAATAGATATTGTGGAAAATAGTAAAAGGGAGGGATTCTTATACATATCCTGTTGGGAAAGGGTAGATACCATGCCTATAGGTTGTTACAATATTTTTTATTTAGATGCCATGTCTATAGGTTGTTACAATATTTGTTTATTTAGATTCCATGCCTATAAGTTGTTACAATGTTTGTTCATTTAGATATCATGACTATAGGGTTCAAATCTGCTTCTGCAATCAGAAATCATATCATTGTGCTGTTTGCCTGTTTGCATGCATTCTAGATACCATACCTATAGGTTAAAAATCACCCTTGCACTTTTAGATATCATGCCTAAAGGCCAAAAAAATAATTTTTGCATTTAGGAGCCTGCTAAATAGTCCAGCGTATTCGACATTTAGAAACCATGCTTATAGGATAAAATCAATCTTGCGTTCTGGACATTTTGCTTGTAAGTCTAAAATCAGTCTTTAATGCCAATGAGGTTTTAAGTTTAACCACTGCGTTCAGCTATCCTTGTCTAAAATCAGTTATTACACCTAGGCAGCATGCCTATCAGACTTAATAAACTCGAACCGTTTTAAACTGATTTCCAGAATTCTGATTGCATTTAGACAACATGTTTATAAGGTATTACAGATCTACGCCTAGGAAAGCCTATAGGTAATCAAGGTCTAATAAAAACTGTGGAACTATGCTTTGCTTATTTGTGACTTCCCAGATTTAACAAGTTTTGAGATCAGTAGGCAAGCTGATTAGGTCTTTAACGCTTTGCCTTAACACAATGCCGCATATTCTTTGCTTGTCATGCTCACCTAGATATCCTGTTTTAGGACCTTTCTGAAATGTCTGGAATCTGTTGTTTGAGACGTGCACTTACTTGCTCTATTTGTGGAGGTAAAATGTGAGCCTTTTAATTGTTCTATCCTTGGTCTAGTCCTACGTGTTTTGTTTGTCGCCTAGAGTTTTCTCCTTTTGATTACTGTAGGAGAGTCTAGATCCACCTTCACTAGAAGTCCTAAATACCTCCGGGACCATATAAGTAAAGGGACCGGTATTGCACGCATAGGATACATCTTAAGGTTGCTAGAACGCTTTAGGCTATGACCAAGGGGAGGGTAATTGGGTAGTAAAGGATGTGATGACCTGTGCGCTCATGCCACTGTTGATACCCAATTTTTCCCTAGATATTTTTATACTCAAAATACTTTCAAAATAATATATATATGCATATATGAGCATACCCAAGTGTTTTGGTATTTTTCCAAATTTTTTAAAGATTTTGTAAA